TCTCTTGTTCATGCATTTCTGTGCCTGTCTCCCCTTACTACACCAGAAGCAGAGCCCAGCCAGTCTCCTTAGAGGGAGTACAGAGTAGCACAGTGGCTAATAGTGTGAACTCCATTTCACAATTTCTTGTGAGATCTTGGGTAGGTTACTTAATCTCTCTTGTGCCTTTTTTTTCACTACTGTATATGATGGGGAAAGCTGCCCTGGCTGGTATGGCTCAGTGGATTGAATGCCAGCCTGTGAACTGAAAGGTTGCTGGTTCGATTCCCAGTCAGGGCACATGCCTGGGTTGCGGGCCAGGCCCCCATTTGGGAGTGTGTGAGAGGCAACTGATGGATGTTTCTCTTGCACATCTATGTTTCTCTCTCTCTCTTTCTTCCTCCCTCCCCCCCCAAAATAAAAAAGAAAGAATCTTAAGAAAAAAAGATGGGGAAAATAAGGCAGGGGTGGGCAAGAGTAGGTTTACATAATACAAATAAATAATAATATAAGAATAAACTTTCACACTCTCACAACTGTAAACCTTTTGCCCACTCCTGTATAACCCAATGCATGGGCTTGATTTGACAATTAAATGAATACATACACACGCATACATGTATGTGTGTGTGTGTATATATATATATGGTGCTTAGAACAATGTCCGGCACATAGTACACTTCTAAGTACTTGTTCAAGAATGTTCCAAACCCTGGGTTACAACTATATTCTATGAATCTAAGGGAATCCTTGGATCTCATAAGGAAAACTCAAGGACAATAGCCAAACCAGGCTCGGGTGACTCTACCCGCCTAGCAACAGAATGTGGCGAGCGAGGTAGGGGCAGCCATGGACATTCAAAACCTAAAACAGTGAGTAAAGGGCTACTGAAGCCAGACGGGTTCCAATCCTGCCTCTATAACCAGTGAGGCAGGTGACTTTGAGCAAGTCACTCCTAAGCTCTCTGCTCAGCTGACTCCTTTGTAAAGAGGCTATCACAGCACCTACCATACAGGTTGGCGAGGAGTAAATGGAACCATCTATTTCTTAGCACAGGCAGCACACTATTCTTATTAGCTCTGTCACTCGGCTCATTCACACATGGTCTCAGGGCATCCAAATTCTTTCTGCTCTTTAGGCCTCAGTTTTCCCATCCTCATGCCTCGGGTAGAAGAGGGAAGAGCAAGGAGAGTTAACCTTTGCGGGACACCTATCCTGAGGTCAAGAGACGTCTCTGTTGTTAGCCCCGGCAGGGGCGGCTAGACTCAGATCAGCTGGATCTGGTTCCAAATTCACTCACCAAGCTGCTTTTCCTCACCAGTTCCATGGGAAAAGCCCTTCGAGAGCTATCTAGATTAAAGCCATACCCTTTGAAACTCAAGTTTCAAGAGATAAAAGATCCCCTGGAGTGATCTCGCGTGCCGCTGAAGTCCCAGGAAGACACTTTTTAACTAGCGCTTGGGACAGTGATGCCCTTCGCACATTTTAAAAAGAACCACGACCTTCAGCTCCTCCCCCGCAACCCGGCCCCCAGCTGCGAGAGCAACACCCCCCGCCCGGCCAAATGTGCCTGGCCCAGCGCCAAGCCCGCCCAGGGTGGGGGCATCCGCGTGTAGAGAGGACGAAACCAACGTATCCCAAAGCTTGGGGTCCTTGGCTGACCTGGCGCGGCTCCCGAGGCTCGGCAAAGGCTTCTTGTCGTCTCTTCCAAGTTCCACTTTACAGTCGGCTGTCTCTTCACCGGGAGTCCGCGGATGCTGATTTGCTCCGTAGGGTCCCAAGGCTACTAAGGGACACCCGGTGATACCAGGGGTGAGGCTTTACGGATACCGATTTATTGGAGGCACCTGGAGACCCAAGGCGGAGGGAACCTGGAAATAAGGCAGGAGTCCCCGGAAAAAAAGAGGCGTTGTAAGAATGGGATGTGGGGGTGAGGGCCGTCCTGGGACGGTAAGGACCAGATTCCCCCTGACCCGGGGCCCCCGCCCGTACCAGCCCCGCGGCCCTGCGCTACCTGTGCGGCCGCCGGCGGCCCGCGCGCAGTTCAGCGCTGCCCGCCTGGAGCGGAGCGCACACAATGAGGAGCTTTCAGACGTGGCTGCGGTCCCGGAGCCGGCGGGCGGGAGCCAGGACGGGAGGGAAGGAAGAAAGAAGCCGGTTGGCCCCAGGGTCCCGCTACCCTGCCCACCACTGACTGAGGGGCCACGCCTCGGGGGAGGGGCAGCTGCCCAGGGGCAGGCGTAGGAGGGCCCCGGAATAGAGGGGCACAGGTGGGCTTTGGGGGCTGCAGGAGGCGCAGTTTGGACGAGGATGTCAAAGGGCGCGGGCAGTCACCTCTCATCTCGCTAATTGACCAAATCAGTTGTCGCCTTCTGCAGTCCTGAGAAAGGAGGCTCCCAGGAGCAGAAAAAGCTCTTGGGAAGGAAAATGAATCTTAATCTTGCTCCTCCTCGCTCTCGGTGGCATCCTCTCAGCGAAGTGACTTGGAATCCAAACCGGCTTCCCACACCCCAGCCTCAGCCCTCAGCCAGGTCCAAGGCTCCTCGATGCCGGGCAGAGCTGGCTGTCTCCCTCCTCTCGTCCCCTCTCCGCTCTAGCCACCAGAGCAGCAAGTCCGTCTAAACACAGGATCCCTTTCGATAAATAAAGCAGATCCCCCCTCCCCTAACACACACAGATAACAGAGTGGCGTCCAGGCATCTGAAAATGACAGACAATTCTGACCTCTGGTAATCCGTGGTGGGTTCTAAAAGAAGTCTCTGCTGCTGGAGTATAGATTAGTGCATTCTTTCCAGAATGTGGCTTGGCAAGAAGAGTTAAAATCCTTAAGAACGGTCACAAGCTTTTGGAATTGGTAATTCCCTTCTAGGATCTATCTTAAGGAAATAAACCAGCAACAAGGATTTATATACAGAGTTCACAGAAGTGTTATGACAGTAAACAAAAAGTAGAAGTACTGCAAAAGATGAGAAAGGTATGTACCAGAATACCAACAGCGGTAACTTCTGGGTAGCAAAGTTACAGACAACTTATTTTCTTCATTTTTCTGTAATTACACATTTCCCCCAGTAGGCATTTAGAACTTCTCTGGTGAGAAAGAAACTTTTTTTAAAAGCATGAACATGAGAGAAAGAAAAGAGAAGGTAGAGGTTGTCTTACTAAACTTTCATGACGGGACCTAAGCGGGGCTTTAATGGCTTCATCTGATTCAAACAGAAACTGGATAATCTTTGGCAAAATTAGGGATTGCCCCCTCCAAATACTGAGTAATTTTCTCAGACTGACTTAGCTCTTGGTTACAGCTCAGTTGATAAAATTCTGTATATTTCTCACCTTTTCTTTCAACTACACTGTGTGATTCAGGTTGAGAAGCTACCAACATCTGATCTGTAAACAAAATAACATTCACCAGACACAGTTGTAATTTTCCAGCCTGTGGTTTCCACATGCCATGTGGATTCCACCAAAAACTCACATGTACTTGAGGCTGGACCAGAGGACTTTTGCCAAAGAGCTAACAAAAGCTCCAAGGTCTTTGGGCAGAGCCCTGGCAGAGCAAGGCTGCTGGTGAGTAACTCGGAGAAGTGTGTGCCACCTCTGCCCTCCCCATTCTTCCCCTTCCCCAACCCTTCCCCTCTAAAAAGCCACACGCAGCCTCCATTTTGAACATTTTAATTAGAAAGTTACAAAACAGCATGGTTCTTTATACAAATGTTGCATTAAAATAATAAAATGCAAAGCAATGTTTACACATCTTTATATGTCTTTCCATATCTCATTTCCTTCTGGTAATTCAGAAAATTCAGCAACCAATTTTCATTTAAATCTTAAAAACAAAAATTTTAGGCATATAAATAGGCTGCCCTAAATTTTAAAAGAAAATCAGAAGGGCCAGTGTTAGGATATTTATGTACTTGAATACTTCAAATTAGCTTTGTTTCCAAAACACTTACTTTGGCCAGCCTGAAAGAGAAGGTGCGTTGGAAATAACAACTGAATCTCCAAGGTAAACTGAGGCACACACCGAAGTGTGTTTGTGAATGGGCACGAAGCACAGGTCATAGTGGCTATGTCCTTCCAAAACCAGTAACATCTCCGGATCATAAAGCAGATCCATCTGTCCTTTTAGGAAACTGCATGTTTTCTCAGGACGGGAACAAAGAATCAGTCTTCTGTGCGCAACAAAGACCTGTCCCAGCACTCCTCTCCTGCAGACACTCGCTTAGTCATGAGCGTAATCTGGCTGGACTGCTTGTCACTGCGATTGGCCAGGCTGGACTGAGCTGCCGAGGCTGGCATCCCCTCATTCCCCTCGCTGCTCCCTGTGTGTCCTCCCCAAAGCTGCCGGCTCTGATCGGCACCCTGTTCCTTCGTCAAGGGAAATACAAGGAGCTGGGCTTCCCGCGAGCCCTCCAAATAAACTCTGTGGTTGTCGGGCAGGGAGCCAATACCAACAACAGGTCCTCTGTCACCCATGTCTTTTTCAGGAAGGGGGAGGGGCTGTTGAGTGGAAAGTGTCCAGGCTGTTGGGTGAGGGCCAGAGAGAAAAATCCTGTTGTTACAATCCTTGCTTCCCCCACTGCTGCTGAGAGGATTGTGAATGAAACAGCACTTCTGACTTCAGCCTGCTATTCCAGGAGCACAGACAGAGGGCAAAAGGCAGGGCAACGAGCCAGCCACATAAGGGCAGGAGAAAGGGCTTTTCAGCTGAGCTAATGACAGACGATGTCTGTTTGACTGCGGGCAGGTGGATGGTTCTAGTGTCCTCAAGTTGCTCACCCTCACGTGCATGCACACATGTGTTCGTGAGCACTCACACTCTTCTCTCTCCCCTTCTCTCCAATTCTCCAGTTAAAGGCCTCTCAGTTCTGGAAGTCAGAGTTCTGAATGGGAAATTGAGGTGCCCAAGAGTAGAAAGTGCTCGTGATTTGCGTACCTGCCATGAGAGTCCTGAAAAAGAGTAAAATGGTTTACAACTGGGGGAAGAAATGCATAGCATGTTTCTCAGTTCAAGAAAAAGTCTTTGCTGGACCAGAGACGGGACTCTCTCCAACATGTCTAAACTGATAGTAGCTTTCTCCTGAAATCCAGGTCTAAGGGGAAAAAAAAAAAAAAGCAGGAAGCAAATTACAGCCTTTGGGAACCCTCAGACCTTTCCACAAACTAGTCTCCGATGATTTTGAAAGGCACTTAGGAGATATGGAATTTGTGTAGGGAAAAATTAGAAAGAACTCATCTTTGTCTCTGGTAAGAAAAGCACACATGCTGATACATGTCCATGGGCTCTTTTCAGAAGGGTCCTCAGATGGCAGTTCTTAGAAGACAATATGAGGTAGCCAGGGTCCTGCTTAGAGTTTTCGGTGATGGTCTTCTTATGATAAGTGCTCCTTACACAGCTCTCCTTGGGGCATTGCTGTTACAGGGATTGTGGTGACCACTTGATTTTGAAACACAAATCTTTTTATTCTTTCAAATATCCAGAGGAAGATAAGTAGGATACTGACATACTGGATCCAGGCAAACTTTATAATTTCCCAGAATCCTGGTAGATAAGTATATATAGTTAAGGAATCTCATATGACATTTTCTAAGTAAATGTTAAAGTTTAGACAGGATATGGCAAAATGTTTCAAATACCTTTAAGATAAAGGGGATAATAAAATGTTATTAGGACATACATATGGATGATTCTGACCTAGAAGAACTGCTCATGAAGGAATAAAACAGGAAATGAAATTTTTCCCCTGTATAAACAACAGAATTGTTTGTGTGGGGCTACAATGCTGTAGCAATTTCCCATCTAAGACTTCCCACATGTGTTTCTTCTTGGGACAAGTAAGGAATCCATTTTTCTTTTTTGAAACTGAGCTACTGTTGTCTCCCTAACAGAAAGGATATGAAATGACTTCCACGGGGTATCGGATGACAGCATTAACCACAAACGGAGCTTCGGCGGCCCTTCCCACCAGCCAGATGGGGTTGGGGTCAGTCAGGATGGTGGTAACTGCAATACAATCAGGAATTAGACAGAATATTGAGGGCTGTGAAAATACTATTTTGACCTCTCAGGAAAACTCTGTATTTCAGAACTCATCTCAAGGAAAGGATTCAAAAGAAAGTGAAACTGAATGTGAAAGGTGGCTCATACACTATGTGTTCAAATACTTATCAAAATGCTTATGTTAAAAAAGCCTGGATGCTCAATGTCACTAATCATCAGAGAAATGCAAATTAAAACCACAATGAGATATCACCTCACACCTGTCAGAAGAGCTATCATCAATAAATCAACAAACAACAAGTGCTGGTGAGGATGTGGAGAAGAGGGGACCCTTTTGCACTGTTGGTGGGAATGCAGATTGGTGCAGCCACTGTGGAAAGCAGTATGGAGATACCTCAAAAAATTAGAAATGGATCTGCCTTTCAACACAGCTATCCCTCTTCTTGGAATATATCCAAAGGAACCCAAAACACTACTTTGAAAGAACATGAGCACCCTTATGTTCATTGCAGCATTATTTACAATTGCCAAGCTGTGGAAGCAGCCCAAGTGTCCATCAGTAGATGAGTGGATAAAACAATTATGGGACATTTACAGAATGGAATACTACTTGGCTATAAAAAGGGAGAAAATTTTACCCTTTGTGACAGTATGAATGGACCTAGAGAACATTATGCTAAGTGAAATAAGCCAAGCAGAGAAAGACAAATACCATATGATTTCACTCATACATGGAATCTAATGAATAAACTGAACTAACAAAGAAAATGGGAACAGACTCATAGATGGAGAGCAGGAAGACAGCTACGGGGGGGAGGAGGTGCGGGGGTGGAGGGATTGAGTAAAAAGGGGAAAGAATTCATGGACATGGACAACAGGGCCATGATTGCTGGAGGGATAAGGGGACTAAGTGGTAATAGAAAAAAATACAATAAAGATTAAACTAAGAAAACAACAATGTGGAAACAGTCTATATGTTCTTCTGTAATTCTTGATTGGCTAAGCAAAGGAAATCTACGCTACCACTAAAAATAATACCAATTAAAATTTTGTAGCAGCATGGGAAAATATTTATATTACAAAGTATATAAAAATAAACTGGATCCGAAAGTGTCTCTAAACTATGATAGCAGCTGTACATACATAAAAAGATTTGCATACAAAGACAGGAAGGAATAAAGAAAAAAAACTCAATTTGTAGTTTTCTAAGTTTAGTCAATGTGTTTAGTTTTAAAATTTGTTTTTAAAATAATGCTGTTAGTGTATTACATAAAACCAGGAAGAAACACTGGAATTGCCGTCCCCCCCACTTGTTACATGTCCGTGTGGTATCCATGATGTCTGGTTGCCAAGCTACACTTTAGTGCCTTTAGAGAAAACCTCAGACAATCAGCCAAACGAGTGAAGTCGAGCATATGGGATGGCCTAACAGCCCCACCTCTGTAAGGCACAGCACACCCTTCCTTAGAGCCAGAACCTTGGGTGCATCGCATCTACTCTCCTAATTCAACTGCTGACATGGGGTGAGTCACTCGCCTTCCCTATTTCCATTTCAAAACTATGGACAGTAATTTGCCTTTTTTAAGTAAGTGTGGTAAAGGGAGCACCTCAATTCAGCTTCCATTTAAAAGAAAGGAAACCCATCAAACCAGTGGTGGGGTAAATATGACAATTAAGCGGCACTTACCTGCTGAATCATAGAAGTGGGGACAGGGTAGAGTGTAGGTCTTTAGGTCAGGAGGAAAAGGACAAATGCTGGTAGCCTGTTTGCCTCCCATCACTGAGTATTCACCGGTTTTGACATTTTCATCAAGATAAGGGTTCCAATTCTGTGTTTCTCCAGAGCCCCCACCATCCTGGAAAATCCTTGACAGATACCCAAATAAAACTTACTCACCATTCCTTTCTTGATAGGCAGCAACAATGTGGGTGAGGTCATAGTCATAGGCAAAAGGGCTGGTCCCGTTGATCACTGACACCTGGGATACAGCAGGAGGACCAGGTATGAGCGCTTGAGCAGCTTCTTCTCAGGTCTGTCTGTCTTCCTGCCCACCAAAGCAGGTCTCAGGGACTACCTTCTTGTTTTTGGTGGCCTATTCCAGTATCAACAATCCTTTCTCCAAGGATGAACCAACTCTTTCGCAATTATTTATTTACTCTCAATCCTTCTCCTTGTGGGATGGAAACAGGGGTCAATATCCACCTTTTATAGGTTTTATAGGTTTTAAAGCTATTTATAAAATACCTCTCCATTCCAATGGGAGAAATAATTCCTTTAATTTTTAAAAATGGACCGTATTTTCTGCCCTTGTTGGTGTGGCTAGGTTGGTTGGGGCATCCTCCAGTAACCGAAAGGTTGCAGGTTTGATTGCCAGTCAGGGCACACACTTCGATTGCCCAGCGGGCCACATATGGAAGGCAACCAATCAATGTCGTTCTCTCACATCGATGTTTCTCCCTCTCTCTCCCCACTGCTTCCCCACCCTCTAAAAGCAATGAAAAAATGTCTTGAGGTAAGGATTGAAACAAAAATAGACCATATTTTCAACTCCCTTGTCTTTCCTTACTCTTGTCTGGATGCTCACTAATTTATCTCTTCTAAATGTGGATTTGGAAATAAGATGAAGTGCAAAGAGTGAGTATATAATCCTATAAAGAAAGCAACTTCCTGCCCTCAGATATCATATTCCTGTTGACATAACCTTCAAATAAAAAGTGATATGGGTTTCTAGGTGAAGACAGGACTTAGAATGCTGAAAACTTAGGGGATGCATTAAAAACATGTAAAAACAAACAAACAAACAAACAAACAAGAAAAGGTTCCAGTCCAGGATAGCAAGAAAGGAACTTCCTGAACTCACCTCCTCCCACTGACACACTGAATCCACAGCTATATATGGAGCAATTCCTTCTGAAAGAAATCTAGAAACGAGTTGAGTGACTCCTACACATTGGGCAAATGAGGAAATACCATCACCCACACCTAAACAATCTTAGCACATCCCGACTACTAAAAACAAAGAAGGCATCTTGGACAATGACAAAGGTTTAAGAGGAACCAAGAGCTCCGGCTGGGCTGATTGGTAAGATTCATTTCCTACATTAGACCACTCCACCAAGACTGGGAGAGAGGGATGTTTTATCTAATGCACAGAAACCAGCACAGAGAGTCAAGGAAAATGAAGAAATAGAAAAATATGTTCCAAACAAAAGAACAAGAAAGAACTCCAGAAATAGACCTTAATAAAATGGAAATAAGTGATATATCAGATAGAATTCAAAATCGCAGTCACAAAGATGCTCACTGAGGTTAGGAGAACGATACATGAAAAGTTTAAAAAAAAAGACACTGTAAGAAAATCACAGGCAAATATAGATGCAAAATCCTCCACAAAATATTAGCAAACCAAATTCGATGCCACAACCAAGTAGGATCTATACCAAGGATGCAAGTATGGTTCAACATCCACAGATCAATATATGTGATACATCACATTAACGAAATGAAGGATAAAAATCATCTCAAGAGATGCAGAAAAAGCATTTGATAAAATTCGACATCCATTCTTAAAAAAAGCTCTCAATAAAGTGGGTACAGAGGGAATGGAAACATACCGCAACATAATAGAAGACATCTATGATAAGCCCACAGCTAACATCATAATGGAGAAAAGCTTCTCCTTTAAGATCAGGAAGAACACAAGGGTGCCCACTTTCACTGCTTTTATTCAGCATAATACAGGAATTCCTAGCTAGAGCAATTAGGCAAGAAAAAGAAATTAAAGTCATTCAAATTGGAAAGGAAGGAGTAAAACTGTCTGCATATGACACAATATTAAATGTAGAAAGCCCTAAAGACTACATCAAAAAACCTGTTAGAACTTATGACTCACAAAATCAATACACAAAATCATTTGCATTTCTATACACTAACAATAAAGTATCAGAAAGAGAAATTATGAAAAAAATCCCATTACACTGTATCAAAAAGGACATAAAACATGTAGGAATAAATTTAACCAAAGAGGTGAGAGGAAGATCCTGTACACTGAAAACTGTAAGATATTGATAAAAGAGACTGAAGAAGATACAAATGAATATACAGATATTCTGTGCGTGTGTGTTAAGAGAATTAATGCTATAACGTCCATACTACACAAAACCATCTACAGATTCAATGGAATCCTTATCAAAATTCCAGTGGCATTTTTCACAGCTATAGTAAAAACAATCCTAAAATTTGTATGGAACCACAAAAGACCGCAAACAGCCAAAGCAATCTTGAGAAAGATCAAAGCTGCAGGCATCTAACTTCCTGATTTAAAACTATATTACAGGCGCGGGGGCAGCAGGCCCGCTTCTCTACGTGGGCCGCGCGCGCGCATACCAAGTGCGGGTGGCCTAGGGCGCGTGTAGAGCCACCCGCCGCAGGCCTGGGCCAGACGCCAAAGCAGCGGGGTCGTTGTGCTGTGAAAAAGACATCGGAAGCCGCCCTAGCGACAGCAGGTGCGGCCTCTTTAGCCCCAAGCGCTGGGCGAGTCTAGGCTCGCACCTAGCCCTTCCTGGACCTAACGCCAAGCAGCGACACTGAGTGGGCCTCCAACAACGGACCGGAGCTGCGGGCAATGGCGGCGTCCGCGGCCTCCGCAGCCTCGATGGCCGTGTCCCGGCCCATAAAGGGGATCCTGAAGAACAAGAGCTCTGCGATTTCTTCTGTGGTGACCTCCAATGAAGAGCAGCCCGGCAGGAGTGTCGAGGAACAGAGGAAAAAGTCCCAGAGGTGGGATGAAATGAGCATCCTGGCGACATATCACCCAGCAGACAAAGACTATGGTTTAATGAAAACAGATGAACCAAGCACTCCGTACCATCGTATGGTAGGTGGTCATGACGATGCAATGGGTGACTCAGAAACCACTCAAGCCCTGACCCCAGACAGACTGGCTAAGAAACTGGCTGCTGCTGAGGGCTCGGACCCCAAGTATCGGGTACATGAACAAGAAAGCAGTGATGAAGACTGTGACTTCTCACCTGAGGAACAAGGTAAAAAGTCTTTATTGAGTGCCTGCTGTTTACTCTTCTGTAAGTGCTCAGGAGGAAATGTGCACGGGGGAGAAAAGACCCAGCTTCAGGAAACTTCCACACCAGCTATAGAAAAAAAGCGACAGTTTGAAATGAAAAGGAAGCTTCACTGCAATGAAGGACTGAATATTAAATTAGGTAGGCAATTAAGTTCTAAAACCCTAGATAATGATGAGGAAGATGAAGAAATGTCAGAGACTACAGCTGGAGAAAGTATGAATATGAAAAAATCAAATCAAGGATCTACTACGGGTGACCAACTGCAAACCAAATCACAGAGTTCAATAGAAGAGATTTGTTCAACACTGTAATTGTCTGATACAAACCCTGTTACTATATTATACTGCTTCTTGTTCTCTGCAATTCAGGACTTAAGTACCAAAATGCATACCAGTTATTATATGTTGCCAGGAATTAAATAGACTAATTAGACTGGAAATGCCTAATTGATACATATATTCTTGTGCCTAGTACTTCACCACAAATACAGTATAATATCATCACTCTAAAACTGCACTACTTTCGTAAGAACACTGGTTAATTTGTATAAGATATAGTTTTTTATGCTTGGAGGTTAGTATCTTGGGGAGGGGGAGAGGATCTAATTTATTTTCTTCCCTTCTAGATGTGATAGCTCTTATAAATTTTTAAGTCAAAATCCAATTGGAACAACAGATTATAGAGGCTGATAAATACTCAGTCTGAAAACTATTTTAACACATGTCTCAACCTGATTTATCTATTTAATTGAAAAGGATGATTATAAAAGTTACTGTTGAATTTTCAGGCCTAATACCTTTAAAATTCCTTCTGAATTTCTTTATGTTTAAAAGGAAAGACTGAATTATTTCTCATCAAAACTAGCTTTATTCACAAATAAATTATCAGGTTGAACTTGCACTAATGGCTGCTCTTTTTTTGTAAACTCGATTGGCAGACTTCAGATCATTTAAAATAAATGTAATTATAACATAGTCTCAGCATTCCCTTTATATGCCTGTCCTAACCACCTGCCTTTGTTTCTTACTTCTTTCCACATATACACACACAATAGTTCTTTACCTTTATAAAGGGGCATGAAGATTGTCATGACATTAGGAACCCTTCCCTCACATATTGTATCCTTTACTCAACAATGAAAATCTTATTTTGACTATCAGTGCCTCTTTTTTCCTACTAATACATGGACAAAACAGACTTTAATAGCAGCAGTACTATAGACAGGAAATATAATTCAACTCCAGGATTTCTACACTACTTTGATTTACAGCTTGCTAATTAAATTGCTATTACCAGTTGATTGTTTGACTTAAATAGACCTTAGGAAACAAGTGAGATTCTTTGGCATGATGGGAAAATTGGGTGTAGGCAGTGGTATGATAATAGTTCCTGAGTGTAAGGACAGAAGTAATCCTGAACACAATTTAAGAACTTTAATCCCTACTTTAAGGGAATATGATAATGTATGCTAGACAACTGTACTGTATTCTAACACAGTAAGGTTGAGATTCTTTTTTCTCCTGAAATGAAGTGCAGTTCCTGTGTATCTTGGTTTACTAATAATTTATTTTTAGTCAATTATTTGTATCTTGATTTTTTGATAGTACGAAAAGAATCTATTATATGAACAGACTTTTAAAATAGTTTCTGTATATTATATATATGAAATGCTTTTATTGAACAGCTTATCTTCCACTTGCAAGTTTATAGAAATATCAATATGTCAAAATAAATAGAAAGCGAGGAGGGAAAACTATATTACAAAACTATGGTAATCAGAACAGTATGGTATTGACATAAAAACAGACATATCAATGGAACAGAATAGAGAATCTAGAAATAAACCCACCAATATATGCTTAGTTAATTTTTGACAAAGGAGCCAAGAATACAATGGGGAAAGAACAGACTCTTCAATAAATGGTGTTATGAACACTGGACAGTCACATGCAAAAGAATGAAACAGGACTCCTATCATACACCATACATACAAATCAATACAAAATGGTTGAAATTTCATTTAAGACCTGAAACTGTAAATCTCACAGAAGAAAACGGGGTATGCTTCCAGACATAAGTTCTGGCAAAAAATTTTTTGTATTTCATACCAAAAATACAAGCAACAAAAGGAAAAATAAGTGGGACTATGTCAAACTAAGAAGCTTCTGCACAGCAAAGGAAACCATCAACAAAAATCAAAAGGCAACTTACAGAATGGGAGAAAATATTAGCAAATAATATATCTAATAAGAGTTCATACCCAAAATACAGGGTCCAGCAGAAGTAACACCTGCTTGAGTGTGGCTGGCAGGGTAATAACGTAGATGTAATAATTTACAGTTTTAATTTGAACACTTCACCTAAAATGTCATCTGGTGTGCTTGAGTGTGATATTGTAATGTTATAGAATTACATGCTTATGATTTTGTAGTAATGAAGGGACATTATTTGTGCTGGACCCTGTATATAAAGAACTCACACAATTCAATAGCAAAAAATAAAATAAATAAATTTGCTTTTAAAAATGGGCAGAGGAATCAAATAGGCATTTTTTCCAAAGAAGACATACAGAAGGCCAACAGGTACACAACAAAGTGCTCAACATCACCATCATCAGGGAAATGCAAACCAAAACCACAATGAGGGATTACTTTAGGACACTTACCAAAAAGACAAGAAATAACAAGTGTTGGCAAGGATGTGAGAAAAAGGGAACCCTTGTTCACCGGTGGTGGGAATGTAAGCTGGTGCAGCCACTATAGAAAACAGTGCAGAAGTTCCTCAAAAAATTAAAAATAGAGCTACCATATGATCCTGAAATCTCACTTCTGGGTATATATCCAAAAGAAATGAAAACAAGATATTGAAGAGATATCTGCACTGCCATGTTCACTGCAGCATCATTTACAGTAGCCAAGATATGGAAACGACCTAAGTGCCTATCAACGGATGAATGGATGAAGATGTGATATATATATTCATACATGAAAAAGAAAGAAATCCTGTCATTTGCAACAACATGGATGGATCTCGAAGGCACTATGCTAAATAAAATAAGCCAGATAGAGAAAGATATATACTGCATGGTATCACTTATATGTGGAATCTAATAAAAAGTCAGACGCATAGAAATAGATTAGAAAATTGGTTGTCAGGTGCTTGGAGCTGGGGGCAATGGATAAAGGGTAAAAGTACAAAGTTTCAGCCATAAGATGAATAAAGTCTGAGGATCTAATGTATAACATGATGACTATAGTTAATAATAATATATTGTATAATTGAAATTTGCTAAGAGAGTAGAACAAAATGTTCTCATACATATACTAAAAAAGATAAAGATGTGTGGTGATGGATGTGTTAACTGAGAGGAATCCTTTCACAATGTGCACATCTATCAAATCATCATAATGTATACTTTAAATAGCTTACAGTTTTATCAATTATACCTCAATAAAGTTGGAAAAAAAAAAAAAAAGCAAAGACCACTTCCAAGCTAAAAAGAGTGCCATATTAAGTTTTTATCTTATAGTCCTCCTTTTTCTTTTCTTTTTTTTAACTTACATTGATTGTAGCTACGGTGACCATAAATCCTACTTTGAAACGGTCCTGCAATAACTGATAACATCCTTCTTTCCTTTTCAAAAGTAGCCCAGCCCAAATTATACAGCCCCCCTTGGGGTATAATAAAAGTTAGTCATAATGAGTGTTTAGATGCATGAGTTCTGGCCTCAGACGGACAATTCATGGTTCTGTTACTCTCACGCTGTGGGACTCTGGAAAAATTAATTATCCCCTGCCAGTCCCAGTTTCCCCAAGTGTAAAACGAGACTCCATTCTTTCAACAAATATATCTGAGTACTTATGATATGGCAGGCACTGTTTAAGGCACTGGGGTGAAAGTACAGATGTCAGTATAGCATAGATGCTGAGGGAGACAGCAAAAAAAAAAAACAACAAACAAACAAAAAACAAAACTGAAAATATATCTTTAATATTTCCGGTGGAAGAAAGTAAATCTAGGTAACGGAGAAAGATGGTGGAAAGGAAGTGCCTGGGAAGGACTGTGTTCAGAGACATTTGGACAGGGAACTGAATGGAGTGGCAGATTAAGCTATATGCATCCTTGTCAGAGGGAAACGCAAGTGCAAAACCCTTGAGGCAGCAGCCGCTTTGTGGCACAAAGGCCAGTATGGCTAGAAAGGAGCGGAGGGGAGAGTGACAGGACAAGCAGCTGCAGAGCTGGGAAATGCAGAGTAGACTTTTCCTGGGGTTGCTGTGATGAATAAATGAGATGATATATTTAAACCTCTGAACTCAGGATTGACATATATTATGTGCTCAATAATCAGTCATTAGTATTATTTTTGAAATGTTTTACATAAACTGTAAAAGATCACCTGCAATATGGTGTGTGTGTGTGTACATATCCAAAAGCAATTAAGTATTTGGTTCTTAGATAAAAACAAAGATTTTCTTCTCTCTTTCTAGATGTAAATACAGGCATGTCTGTCTCCATATTTTGAGAATTTCCTCAGAAATCCTCTTCCATGCCCCTAACAAGAAACACTATTTCCCATTTCCATTTTTGCCCTCTTCAAGAAACTGATAAACACTGACATGTAGAAACAAAGGAGATGGACCAGAAGCATCCTTACGTTGTATCGAACATCTAGGCCACTGTAGCTTAGGGGCTGCTTCTGCTGCAGCCTTAGGTCTCCGTTCACATATAACTGGGACCCCGGAAGAGCAAAGGAGGACTGGAGAAATGCCATGCTCTGCATCACGAATGTAGACATCCTCTGAAATCATTAGAGGGGGAGACAATATCAATTTCGGTCAGACCTTAAGGGCTCTGGGTTCTAAGCGCCCACCTGTCTAAGGATGAAGTTTAGTGGTTACTCACATACCTGGTTTAGCTATGTAGGAAGCATTCTGCACAGAATGCTCTGAGCTGTTAATAGTTTGTACAAATTAATATGACCCTAATGAAACACATTTAATCTGCCTAAGTTAAATCCCAAAGAACACCTCAGAAAAGAGCCTTTTTCTACAGTGTGGGTTTTCCTAAAAATCAGAAAGAAGGCTCTGATCTATTAAAAGACAAAAGGGAGAGGATAGGCTTCCCTCAGGAATTGACTCACGTGCAATTGGTAGGAGAAAGTCAAGATGAGTTGCACACCAAGAACATGCTCCGTGGACTGCAGCGGAAGCTCCAGTTTAAAATGCAACATGTCCATTTTCCCATCCTGGTTCCTGTCTTCTTCTCTAGTCTAGGAAACCCAAAGAGGGCCAGTGACCCTGGTCCTTATTAAGTCAGGAAGAATCCACATCACAGTTGTGAATACAAAATGACCCATTGTTCTGCTATACACAGGTATTATCTCCCTCATCAAAAGAAAGAGAAAAATAAATATGTATAAGTGGATCAATATTGGGAAAAGAGACAGAATCTTCATACTTCTGCTTCTCATTTATTTAAGGGCCATGCTGATTGGGGAATTTGAAGTGGCAATAACAATAAACATCTGGATGGCATTTTTCTTTTTGAGTTGTCTCGTTTGACCGTTTTTTGTTTTCTTGCTGGCATCTTCTGAGTTTGTATGGAAAATTTAAATAGCACATCAGAATTGACTTCTGCCCTAGCTGGTGTGTCTTAGTGGATTGAATGCTGGCCTGCAAATCAAAGAGTCACCAGTTCGATTCCCAGTGTAGGGCACATGCATGGGTTGCAGGCCAGGTCCCCAGTAGGGAGCATGCGAGATGCAACCACACATTGATTTTTCTCTTTCTCCATCCCGTCCCTTTTCTAAAAGTAAATAAATAAATAAATATTTTTAAAAAATTATTGGAAAAAAAAATTGTATTCCACTTGTCTAGAAAATAAACTAATACTAATAATTTTGTATTCCCCAGACTCAGCAAAAACAAAAACAAAAAAAGAAACAAAAACAAACAACCCACCAAGCTCTATCTATACATCCTTAAACCACAAGTGTCGTTGCTTCAGATTCTTGATGTTGGACCACATCTCATTACTGTCAGCACTTTAAAGCCTACTGCATCTTTTAGTACCAATCAATAAAATGAAAAAAGCAACTCTGGAAAATCACTATGCCATTAAAACTACACAGATACTTTATAAATTATGGACATGAAAAGTAGGGAAAACAGATCTTAAGAGGGAAAAATACTAAATTACAGCTCATAAAAACACTGGTACCCAGTCTTGATATCTACAGCCTTGTCTCATAGTGATCCTAAAACGACTAGAAGGAAGGGATGGTTACTGACATGTAGTCACTGCTTCCTTGACATGATTCCTTGGCACAACTCTGGATCTTGTTGCTACAACTGATCCTTTTTCAGTGTACGTTCCCAGAAGGATTTTACTATGGAGTATCAGCATTCCCATCTGAACTCTCCATCTACTGATTCATTTTTATTTCCACCAATATCATTATGCAATGAAGAGAGTCTTTGTTCTTATACAGATATCTGTTTTCAGAAACTTTCAATTATTTCTTTCCTTCTAGACAATAATGTCCTTATCCTAGGACTTGTATAGAGAAACCTGCCCTCTCTCTTCTGTTGGACACTATTTTCTCTGTCCTGTTCCATCAGCTTCACAGGTGCAGGGGAGGGATATCTGTTACCAGGGATGATGATCGAGTTACTGAGGCAATTGTGTATTAGCAATTATGATTAGAATAGAAAAGAGGCTGCCTTGTCTTTTCATGAATCTTCTTCAGTTGGTACCTGGGAAGACTTGGAAGACAAAGTCGACTTAGCTCTCTAAAATGATCTCCATCTTTTGGATCCTTAGTGTTAAACAGAAAGACAAAGATTAAATGTCAAAAGTGAGGATAGTGGCCAGGAGGGAATTCCCAGAAGAACACAGACTCCAACACAGTGTGTGATGGAGAGAAAAGCAATTCATTTGACTTTGAAAATAAGTCTAAGCTAAGCAGAGCAGGCATTATCCCTGTTGTATAGAAGAGAACATCAAGGCTCAGGGAGGTGAAGGGATTTATTGGGTATGGCTAGTAATGGTAAAGATAGGACTTGAAACCACATCTTTGACTTCCGATCTGGTTCCTTCCAGAGCTAAAATGTCCAGACAAAACAAAGCAAAACAAAACAAAAACAAAAAACCAAAACAACTCAAGATGTTGGGTGGGACAAATATTTTTGCAAAAGCCAGCATCAAAAGTATAGGTCTGTATACTTGCTTGTGCACACACTTTGACTCCAAGTTCAGAGAAGACAGAGGTCTGACATAGCACCATAATGAGCATCTACTTGTTAAGTTCACTCATTAATCTGTCAAGTATTTTTTGAGGACCTGCTTTATGCCAGGCACATAGTAGGTGTCAGGAATATAATGGCAAATGAAATAGACCAAGTTCCCGCCACCACCCTCCACCCCCGGCCAAGGGAGCTTATATTGCCTGCCATGGAGGCAGACAATAAATCAATAACCAAGTAAATACATACCAATATTAGGTTATGATGAGTGTCACAAAGAAAAATGAAACAGACTAAAATTAGAGAATCATCAGTATAAATATTTTTTACAGAAAATATTCAAGAAGACCTGACTGTTGGAAACCTGAATGAAGTGAAGTGAGGAGGCATGGAAATATCTGTGGAGGGGTAATCCAGGCTAACAAAGTGAACATACACTGAGTAAAAGTGGGTCAGTGTTTAAGACAGTGTTACCAGGCCAGCGCAGCTGAGCAGGAATGAGACAGAGAGCAGTGGATGAAGAGGGTCACAAAACAGCCATGGGGGTAAGAGAGGAGGCAAACGGTGCATCCCCCACAATGACCTATCACCAAGTTAGAATCTCACTCCTTTAAGAATGGCAAGTTGGGCTACATGTCTACACTATTACTTATTAGTGAAATCAATGATCTAATTCCATTTAGTTCAAATCAATTTTAATACATGGGCATCAGCTATAAAGGCAGGCATTCAAAGAGTTAATACTTCTTTAACACAAGTTCAAGGTTATTCTAAAATCAAATTGGTGTGTCTGGCTAAGATAATTCATAAATCATACCATCACCTTATTTCTGTAAGGTATATGTGCAATTTGGAACAATGTTTATATTCACTGATTGTTCCATCTGATCCCACTGCATATCCCAGGAGAGGGATATTCTTATTAGTAATAATAAGAGAGGTAGGTACTACATCATGTTCTTTATGTAGACAGTTACATTGAGGCCGAGAGAGGGTATGGAACCCAGTGACAGAATTGGGTCTAGCATTTAGGTTTGCTGACTTCTGATTCAGTGCTCCTCTGTAACAGCCCACAAGAACCATAATTTCAAAGATTTTTGATGGTTTAAGGAGGATAATCCTTTCTGTAAAGGATTATATGAAATCAATATTAATATACTACATAGGATAAATATAGCCATTGTTGTATTTAGTCAGGGCATATCTGTCTACCTATATGAATCAGAGAAACAGAAACCAGCCCTGGTTGGTGTTGCTCAGTGGATTGAGCACCGACCTATGAACCGAAAGGTCTCTGGTTTGGTTCCTAGTCAGGGCACATGCGTAGGTTGTGGGCCAGGTCCCCAGCGGGGGGCGTGCAAGAGGCAAGAATAGCTATATCTCTCACACATAGATATTTCTTTTTCTCACTTTTTTCCTCCCTTCCCCTCTCTAAAAATAAATAAATAAAATCTTTAAAAAGAAAAACAGAAACTAAAGTTATTTTAGTGGAGAACTAAAAAGGCAAAAGGGAATGCTGTGTTAACACAGAGCAGGTAACCGCAGGAAGCAGCTCTGGTGCCTGAGGCTGGAGAAGGAAGGGAAGAAGCTGGCATTACCGAATGGAGCTGGGACTCAGTCCTCAGGAAGGGTTTCCCAACTGGCTCTGGTACTTCCAGAGTCTGGAGGAGGAACCCACTAGAGGGAATCAATAAAGCTGGAGGAAAGACTTACTCCTTCCTGTTTGTAATCACCCCAGCAATGGTCCTTCACCCTGACAGTGGCAACTGGTTGCAATTTTGTTTTTTCCTATTCCCAGAATAAGGCTCATCATGCCTCCCTCTGGCCGAACCTAACAGGGAGTTAGTGGACAGAGGAAAATGCATTTTTCAGCATCTCAGCATGAGCATCACAAAACAGAGGGATAGGAGGGTGGATTTGGAGCTGAAACAAAACCTAAAATCAACACACCATCTAACTGTAAGAGTTGCTGTAAATTTAAGGAGTCTAATTGTTTCCAGACATCCTGACTTGCAATATTTTTCCCATCAAGGATTCTACAGGATCTCATGATTTGTTTTCAAACCTTTCATTCTTTTGAGTCATATTCTTTTATTAAAGGTTAATTTCCTAGTTTATACCAGTGTTCATTTTACGATATAGTTGTCATCATTGAGTGTTCCATTTTTTTTTCTTTTTGTGCTGAAAATATTCTGGGTCTCCTGCAAAGTAGGGACCACTATTTTGGGGCTCCTAGACTCATTGAATTCTTGCTACCTGTATTTCAATGACTCTAAGATATATATCATCAATTATAAAATGCACCATTATTTTATGTACCAGTAAGGAAAAATAATTCCAGTTAAACCATGACAATGTTTCTAATCACTTATTTATTTTATACTTATTCAAAGAGCTGTCAGTGTGCTCTCCCCGTATACCCATACCTTTCCCTTCCCTCTCTTCTTCCCTCTCAGGTGTGCTTCTCCTAAATTCTAAACAACCCATGAGACTTGCAACCAGGGGAGAAGCAGCAGTTCAGCCCCCAGGCGAACCCCCTGAACTTGTCTCCAAGGCCCCTCTTCTCCGACTCTCCAGGGAGCTGGCAGCAGCCCCGCCTCTGCTCCCTTCTTTCCCATAACATTTCTGAGAGCTGAAGCAGAGCACCACCTAGTCCTTCTCCTGTGCTTCTTCTCTCCTAAGCCCTTTCTTATTTCACTGTTCCCAGCTTTAATAAACATACTCTCAAGCTGAAAAAAATAAAGAGCTTTTAGACTTAGGCATATCTATATCAGATATCATACTTATGCACACAGAAAATTATAAGGGAAACAAATTGATCCAGGGGTTCCTAGAACTTCTTTATATCATAATTCTTTTGAATCACTTTTTGACTCAATGATATTCATACTTTTCTATGCAATTTTGTCCTTTGTGCTTTCAAGCACATTGGTGATAAAGCATTTTAAAAAATTTCATAAAATCCATTGGTCCGGGCTCTTGAGCAGGCTTTAAAATTATGTGAAGCTAGCCTATTTTGAAATGCCTCTTGAATCATCTGTTATCCACTCTCCATTTGGCTCTTAGGGGTTAAAATAATAGTATTTTACTATCTTACTATTTTGTCACTTATATCTCAGTAAAGCTGAAAACAAGAATGTTTTACCATTGTCTCTGGGGTTTTCTTTCATGTTGCTGAAGTCCCTTCTGAAACCTTTAGTGCTGTCACTTTTGATGTTTGCACATGTGTAGGCAATGCGGACTATGCAAAGCCTGTCTCCTGGCCAACAGCCATCCTAAGATAACATGGACAGGAAGACACACTCTGATTTGAGATGTAAAAAAAAAAAAAAAGAAAAGAAAAAAAAAGGTGCCTCAGACACATGGATTCTCTACTCATCTTCCTATAGTCTTCAGCCCCCATATTCTCAGATGCCTTAAAGAGCCAAGTCAGCATCATTGAGAGAAAAGATCTAGCTGTGTTTTTTCTTTTCTCATTTCTAACAACAAGAAACAACTTTTAAAGCATTAAAAACAAAGGGACTTTAGAGATGCTGTCCCAGGTGAACTGACCAAAGCAGAAGCAAGGTCATTTCTGACTTGAGGTATTTTCCCAAATTAGCAACAGAAAAGCTAATGCTTTTCTCAGCACTTAGTCAAACTTTGATCTCAAACCACTGCTTCCTTGGCTTCCTGGCTGTTTCCCGGTTGGGCTGCAGTCAGTCTAGGTTTATGGTCAGAGTTAGAAAAGTAAAGTATTTTGTTGCAGTAAGGGTTAAGAATTTAAGATATGGAACAAGAAATCCTTGAGCTCAGCCAGGAAGGTGGCAAATCAATAACTGAGAAAGACTATAGATGACAAGGTCATGCGTTACTTACAGACACTGGCCAAGAATGGAAGGGGGAAAAGACTAAGAAAAATGAGCTTTGGTTTTGTGTTTTAGAGTGCAAAATTATCTGGTATTAAAGAGGATTAATACTTCTGGGCACCATAAAAATGAGAGGTAGTCTTTCCCTGACCGGGTAGCTCAGTTGGTTAGAGCATGGTCCCGATACACCAAGGGTGCAGGTTAGATGTCTGGTCAGGGCACAGGCAAGAATCTACTAATGAATGCATTAATAAGTGGAACAACAAATTGATGTTTCTCTCTCTCTGAAATCAATAAATACAAATATTAGAAAAAAATACAATAAAGATTAAATTAAAAAATTTTTTTAGGTAATAAAAGGTAGTCTTGGCTTTGCATATTTAAAATTAGAACACGTACACACCAGAAGCAGGGGAACATGGGCAGTGCCTCAAGGGAGCAGTTTCTGGTTACAGAGATAAGAGGCCAACTAGCAGTCCACCTGGGGAGTCAACCAGTTGTAGTGCATGAACAAGTGAAAAGAACAAATAAGAAAAACCTAACGCTAAGTACTTGTTTTTAGGATTATTTTAAGTTTTCATGGTTATTTCTCAGACTCAAGTAACCAGAAGAGCATGATTGAGAGGAACACACAAATGTCAAAACAAACAAAAACATTGCTACTCAAAATTTAAAAGACAGGGAATGCTAACCTAAAGTGCAATTAATATGTTAAACATCTGTTTGTTTGGAATTTTTAAAAAATGCTTTTGTTTTCACTTTGGGAAAGGAAACATGCACATGGAAGGTAAACATAGTTCCATACTGGCCTTTCATCCAGTCACCCTTCCTCAGATGCATTGTAATCTCAAATAAGAATAAAAATGGGCAACATGTCATGATTAGTGAGAAGCTATTGAAAGAAATTAATCTCCTACTCCACTTCTATTTTTGAAACCAATTTAAAAGTCCACCCCCATGGCAAATGTTTTCATCTCATTTCAGGCATTCTGTTGACTTCCCACAAGAAGAGGTAAAAATTTCATTTTCTTCCCAGAACAATCCAACACACACACACACACACACACACACACACAGACACCCCCTCCCCCCCAAACAGAGTTAAATTCTCATTTGACTATGTAAGTCCTATTCATGACTAATTACCTTTCTCACTTATTTCTTAGTTTTTACTTCTCTGGAGTTAATAATTATTTTACTTGCTTGCTTAGTTTTCCTTGTACTTACAAATTTCAACAAACAATCTCTACTGAAATTCCTCACAATTTGATCTCTATTCAAAATCTTGTTTACTGCAATATTCTAATAGTGAAAAAGTGGAAACAAATCAAATATCCACCAACAGGGAACTGGTCAAACCCATTATAGTTCCATATCATGAAATACCTTGTAGATCTTAAAAATAATAAGGTTGGTTAAAAAGTATTGATACATGTATCGAACTGAGCCTTTAACTTCATGTCATTAGATATATCAGGAATCAGAAAAATATAAGAATATTTAAAGTAATTAGAAAGAAGTAATCTGAATCACACTTGGTTTGTAGTTATTCATGTAACTAATCAAATTTACGTTTCTCCCCATTTTATTTGGTTGCTGGAAAAAATTCTGAAAAAAATTTTTTTTCAGCTACACAAGTTTGTCTTGCAGGCCAATCATCTCACGGATGTTTACAGAGATTCAACTTCAGAAGAAGGAAACCAGAATTTTCATACTTCTAAAGGAAAACGTTTTCCAAAAATGAGCAGGAAAGGAGTGCTTGTAAAGGAAGCACTCACCTGAAACGAATACTAAATTATAGACAGTTAAATGCTTCATTTTCATCCTGGACAGCTGCAGGATGGAGCAGCATCTAACGAGAGAAGCCCAGGGAAGAGAGAGGGCAATTCTGGGGAGGTGGCTTATCCAATCAGGGCCTAGGCTTCCCGGTGTCAAGTCTGCAAAAAAATGTCTGCTCTTTCCGTTCCGAGTGTTTAGATGCACAACTCCAGCAACACTACGGGGACAAGAACACCGCTCGCCCTTCACGTCTCATAAAGGAATTTTCGTAACCACCCTTCTATCAGGCCAGGTGCATGTCAATGACAGGAGCTAGAAACAGGCTGCCCCAGGCTTCTAGGCAGCTTGGGGAAGTTTAATGAAACAAGAGATTTACTTCCCAGTAAGTTAAGCATTTGTTCACAACTTACCGTGGGTCCGCGAACACTGAAGACCTAAGCGGGGCTCTCCCGAGGCCGGGCCCTTCGCCCCCCCGCCCATCCCTCCCCCTACCCAGTCTCACTGAGCAGCTAGGCCCCGGAAGGAACCACGCACCGAAACAAGTGGGACGCGCAGGTGATCCCCCTGCAGCCGGTTGAAGGCGGGGAACGTGCTCCAGGCGAGGAACCCGCCGTGCTCGGGTCCCAGGAGGGCCAGGAACAGCACCTGGTGCTGGAAGCGAACGGTCGGCTGCTCCTCGTAGCTGCTCCGCTTCAGCCAAAACCCTGGGGTAAAAGAGGGCGGGAATGTCAGGAAGGCCGGCGCGAGTGCAGCGGGACCGCGGGAGCTGCGGCGCGCACCGACCACGGGGCAGGCTCACCGTGGCTCCGGAAGGCCACCAGCAGCGGCGGGATGTACGTGAGCGCGGTGGCCAGCAGCAGGAACACCGCGGCCTTGGAGCAGAGTCCTGCGCGGTAGCCGCGCTCTACTGGTTGAGAAAAGAGCTCGTAGAGAGCCATGAGGGCAGCACAGTGTGCGTTCGCCGGCTTTCAGACCCCTTCGCGGTTGGGGTGGGACAACCAAGTTTGGCTTCTCCTGGTTGCCATAGCCTTGGTCGCCACGGCAACCAACCACGCAAAGAACGGAACCAATAGCAAGGACGCGGGGCCCGGGCAGGGTTGGAACCAATGAGGGGCGGTGCCCGGGGGGCGGGGGGGGAGACGCTCCACCTCGCTTTACACGTTGCGTGCGTTTCCCCAAAGGCTAAAAACAATGTTTCTCTGCGCCAAAATCGTAGCTGTCGTGTTAATAGTTGCGTAAGGTAAGTTTTTCATAAAACTTGACTCCGAGTAAATATTTATGTGTCTCGTTAAGTATGAATCAATGGTTAAGTCTAGAGTTCCAGCACACCTTACATTGCAGAAAAGCACACAACATAAACGTGTCCACGGTCTTGGACCTGGTCCTGTGCTAAGGTCAAACCCAGGTCCCTTTGTCTCCAAATTTTCTGTTGTTTTCACTATATTCAATAGCAGCACAGACAGTGAAACAGGACATAAACCTCCCAGTTCTTTGTAGAATAAAGAATAATTACTACACAGGACTGTTACACTTTGTTAACCTGTTGGGTACAAGCTTGGCTACCGACTTTAGGGGAAGCTGTGGTCCTCCCAACAATTAACATTGGCTTATCACTGAATTGAGTGCTCCCACCTCCTGCTCCAAATCAGTATTTCGAACATGGCAGAAGGATTTTCTTTTCTTTTTTTTTAAAAAAAACCATGGTTCATATCCAAGTTCATCAAAAGGTCCTGAAGGATCACATTACAGTGCCAAGAGTGTGAGGTTTGCACTTATAGTGAAGTCCAGTAGTTTATGTTCTTATTTTGAAGGCAACCTAGAAGTGGCTTTTAAATGAAGAGAACAGCCAGATCCTAACAGAGAGAGAGAGAGAGATCAAGACATGCCCATCTGGAAAAACTGTCCGGGATCCATACGACAGTCCAAGATGACAATGTCATCAGCCAAAAGATGCTTTTAACATCCGGTCTAGTACTACTCATTCTTGCTTTAAAACTTTTCTGGGTGTCAACACAACTCTTATACACAGCAATTGTATTGATTAAATCTTATGTTATTATTGTGAGACTATTTTGTATCTGTGCTTTAAGTGGATGACTTTCATTTATTTAAATAACCATTAAAATAAGATTCTAAAATAGATGGTTCCACTGTAATCTGAGAGTGACTGTGCTCTGGAAGAAGTGTTTGCCTTCAAAGCTCCTTCTTTCAGCAGAAGGAAACACATATTGTAGCTAGTGTTAGCTTAGTCACTGCTGAAACAGGAAGGTGACTGCTAAGAATTTAGGTGTATGAAGTGCTTCAGCCTCCGTGAGATACCATGAGCTTCAAAAAACTATTTAACAATATTTACTCTCTGTTGCCATGATTTGAGGAAGATAGTCTTTGTGGTTTTATTTCAGTTCTTCAAGGCAGAACAGTAGATTTTTAAAAAAACTGCTAAAAATCTTTATATATTGTGCCATTTTCACGCATTCATGACTTTTCAATTTCCATATCTGTCATTGTCTTGTGTTTCATACAATTTACCTCCAAGGACAAAAAGAGTTGTTTTCTTAAAACTACACATTTTAATCATATTCTGTTCCTTTCTAGATGCTCCCATTCAGGGTCTTTTGAATCAGTTTAGAACTCCTGAATGTTTACTTCAAGGCTTTCCAGCATTTCTTTTACCTTGGCATTTACCTATATCACTGAACCTGTGGCCTCCCATTTTCCTCTTCTTACTCCAGCTTTTGTTTCTATCTGTTCAGGAAAGTTTATTCTTTGAAAAATGCACCCTTCCCAAAACAAATTCACACTTTTCTCTGAAGTCTTTCTCAATAATCCTCCCTTGGCTTTGTGTCAGCCCCATTGCCCTAAGCCATCCCTCAATATCCATGTTCACACACCTCTCCAAGATTTGAAATTTATTCTGTATGTTTTATAGGTCTGTTAATGTGTAAATTGCATATATTCATTATCCTATTTCTTCTCCTGACTCACTTCTTCAACTAACCACCCCCTCAAGGAAGGCATCCAGTGTCCTTAGGACATTCAATAAGCCAAATATAATTAGTCAGTAGGTAAAGAAGGTGATATTATGAATATATATATATTCATACACATATCAAGGCAGGTCAGAGAAGCTGGTTAGAATGGTGAACTGGAAAGAAACATCATGAAAGCAGGTAAAGACAGAAAATAGACAATGCACATTGAAATCATCAGGTGTCATGCCTATGGATTGGTGAGTTCCTGTGAGAAGTGTACTAAGCTCTTCCATGTTCAAGGTGGTGTACACATGCTTTGGGTTAGGACACAATGACCAGCTCTGTAAAAAGGGTTTCAGTCCAATTTCTAACTCTTCCACTGATTCACTCTCAGATGGTGAACAACTATTTTCATTCCTCAGTGCTTAATTCTATTTGCAAAAAATGTATATTTATATTTTTCACTCACTCTGTAGCTAATTCCATCAATTCAATAACTTCAAATACTTCTCTCCTGAATTTGAGATTCATAGATCCATTCACCTACTCTACATCTTCATTTGGATGTGTTTCTTGGATATCTTATACTTAATATATTCAAAACAAAACTCTTAAAAATTTTTTCTCTTTTATTGATTCTAGAGAGAGGGAAAGGGAGGGAGGAAGAGAAGGAGAGAAACATCAGAGTGAATAGAAACATCAATCGGTTGCCTCTTGCAGGTGCCCTAACCAGGCACCAAGCACTGAACCCACAACCCAGCCATGTGCTCTGACTGTGAAATTGAACCAGTGACCTTTCAGTTTGCAGAACAACACCAAACCAACTGAGCCACACTGGGCAGGGCCAAAACAAAACTCTTAATTTGAATTGGATCCTCAAGTTGAACCCACCCTATTTTAGTAAATGGCAATTCCATTCTTCAAAACATCTTGACTTTGACTTGTCTCTCACACCTCATATCCAATTTATCAGCAAATTTTATCAGCTCTACCTTCAAAATATATTTATAGAGTACAATTGCTTCCCATCACCTGCACAGACACTTCCTTGGTTTAAGCCATCATTTTTCACCTAGATTATCACAATAGCCTTTTAAAAATTGATTTTGGAGAGAGAGAAAGGGGGAGACAGAGAGGGAGAGAGAGAAATCAATTTTGTTGTTCTACCTATTTATGCATTCATAAATCAAATATAAGGTTGATTCTTATATGTATCCTGACCAGGGATGGAACCCACAATCTTGGTGTATTAGGACAATGCTCTTATCAACTCAGCTCTCCAGCCAGGGCCTCACAATGGCCTCCGGGCGCTGCCCCTTGCTTCCATCCTCAATCCACTGTAGTCTACTGTCTACACAGAAGCTAGCCTGATCACTTAAAAAGGAAAGCTATATCAGGTCACACCTCTGCTTACCATGAAATTAATCCAAAGATCAACACTGTTTTGTTCTAGATCTTTTAATCTCACCTCCTAAGACATTCCCCTTGTTTATTCAGCTCCAGCCACAAGGGGTTCCTTCCTGCTCCTGGAATATGCCAACCACTTCATCTAATTAGCATTCTATCACACCATCACTCTCTAGTCAGCAACAGTGTTTTATTTTTCTAAGCAGCACCTATCATTACCTGAAATTTATTTTTTGTCTTGTTTCACTAGAATGCAAACTCCATGAGAGCTGTTTTTCCCAACACCTAGAACAGTGTTGCTATATACACAGCAACAGTAATATTTGGTATGAAATTCAAAGGATTTTTCACTTCTTTAAAAACTAGCAAGCAAACAAAAAACCATTTTGGTTGCTCAGAAACACAATTTTAAAATAACAGAAATAATTTTAGAATGAAACTAGATTCCACAGCATCTATCAGGATTTCAACTGCAGGAAATGATGACTGATGATGTTCAAACATACAGGCCTTTCAGGTGCATCAGAATCACAGGTATGTGGCAAGGATCGTGTGCCCAATTAAGTGAATATTCTTGTTACATATTCACCAGCTCATAAACATATGATGACCTAGAGCAGACTGACCAGATGACTTGGCTAAGAAGAAAAGAATGACATCACTGGAGATCCTGAAATCTCAGGCACATGACACATACACATAGAGCTTAGGCTGTGATTCAGAATCTCGCACTGACTGCTAAGGAAGCCCATTTATGAACAGCTATCAGGATAATTCTCCAAGTCTGAAAGTCACCTCTAACTCCTCTGCCTATTAAGGTTAAGGGGTCTTTTTGTAATCAGTATGTGATATTACAGTTTTCAAATGCATGTCTGATAACTTTTCTTAAATGTTTATTCAAACACATATTCATGAATAAAGGAAGGAAACTGGATTTGTTTAAACCCAATTTCTAGACCCAAGGCAACCTATCATGGCTGTCCTTAATACTGAACCCCAGGACTGTCGTCGGTACTCCTCCCCACGGTCCCGCATGGAGCCCCCACCCTGTTAATCCACACAATATTCTCCAGACTGTCAGTGCCCTACCAGGGGTGTCCAACCTGTGGCCCAGGGGCCGCATGCAGCCCAGGACAGCCGTGAATGTGGCCCAACACAAAATTGTAAATTTACTTAAAACATGAGGGGATTTTTTGTGATTATGTGTTGCAATGTATTTAATGTGTGGCCCAAGACAACTCTTCTTCTTCCAGTGTGGCACAGAGACGCCAAAACGTTGGACACCCCTGCACAGAACCCGTCCCTCCCGCATCATTAATCACCAGAGACCCCTTTTCTGTCATTCATACCAACAAAATCCCCCTCTTGTCACTGATGCCCCCGTCAGATTTCCCTCACGAACACTTCTCTAAACTCTATCCTGTCAGCCAGACCTTCAAACACCCCTCCCATTACCAACGTCTACCGAGACACTACTGCTATTACAATTCCCTCACATAAGCCCCTGGCGCCCCCAGGGTACACCCCACGACGCCCTCTCTAGCCTTGCTTCTTTGCGAGCGGCCTCCCCCTCTTGGCATCGCGTCAGGGGG